TGTCGTTGAGCCAGTGTCTAGTAAACATCTAGTTTTATCCTTGATTATAGTGAGTTCTACTATCGGTAGATATGTCGATGGGTGGTTATGTGAAAATTTGTCTGTTGGATGTGGTCTACCTCCATCGGCTCTGGTGCGGTGTAATTATGTCTTGATAAATGATCGGGCTGCCTATATTGCCTGGAGAAGCGATCATGTTGTCCTGAGTTGTGATAATTTTGCCTGTATTGTCCTGAGAAACGCTCCTGTTGTCCTGAATTATAATTGTTTTGTCTGTATTGTCCAGAAGAACGGTCTTGTTGTCCTGAATTATAATTGTTGTGTCTGTATTGTCCAGAAGAACGGTCTTGTTGTCCTGAACTATAATTTTTTTGGCTGTATTGTCCTTGGGATAGATCTTGATGGCCTGAAGTTCTAAAATTCTGCCTAAATTGTATTGAGGTACGTGACTGTCTATAGTAGTTATTATCGTATGGTTGCATCGTATCGTATCGTGAAAGTAAACCTGTTTCTTCGAGTGTATAATAAGCTACAATGTGGGGTCTGTGCCGTTCAGAAATGTTTTTAAAATTAATGATTCGTTGACGCTAGGAGAAAACTCTACAGGTTTTGTCGAATTCATACTTATTATTTAATTTATCTAATATAGACTTTAAGCTATTGTAGTAATTACTCACATTGGTATATTTGGTGCGAATGGCTTGGTTATAAAGGCCATGATAGGTTTCCTTGACTCCAAAGTTTTTTTATTAATTCCACTTTGAATTTTAGTCCAGATGTGTCGCTCTAAAATGAATTGTTTAAGCGCCGGGTTGTCATCGAACAGAGAAAGATTAGTCTCGACTTCTCTCAAGAAGGATGAGAGATCGTATTCCTTCTTTATGCCATAGTAAGGTTTCATTCTTGCAGCTTTATAAGCTCTGTTGCCGGGACTTGGTTGACCATTGTTCGTTATATATTATATTTCGCTTATTTGGTTTTTTATATATTTAATATATATTTTATTTATACTTGTATATATATATTATTTATATATATTGTATACTATTTATATTAATTTTATTTTTATATATATTCTTTCTTTTTATTTTGTTTTTCACTAGGACATAATTTTGATTATTGTCCTTTCGTTATGTTTTTGTTTGTATATCTTAGGATATATTTTCTGCACTGGACATAACTTCGGTTATTTTCCTTTCTTATGTTTTTTCACTCGGACTAAATTTTGATTGTAGTCCTTTTGTATATCTTAGGATATATTTTCTGCACTGGACATAACTTCGGTTATTGTTCTTTCTTATGTATCTTGAAATACATTTTATTTTTAACCGACTGCGCCAATTAAGTCGAGTGTACCGGCGGGAACCAAAAAAAACAATTATTCGATTGTTGTTAATGGTTATACTTCATTTTACATTCTCCTGTTTTGTTATTACAATTATTTGCTTACATTCTACAATAATGCTTACTTAGCTAAATATGCGATTTGGTATTGCGAATGAATTTGAAAGTTAAGAATACAATTAGGAAATACGGGTTGCTGACACTTTGTGTTTACGTTGCTAAAAATGCATTTGTAGTCATTCTGACGAAATCAGAATTATTGGTGCAATTGGGTCATTGGCTCCAACAAACTTGTAGTTTGTCAACATTGCTTATTTTGGTTTTGGAACGTTGCGGGGACGTAACCCGCGTAACGAGTAGCATCGTCATTCACAGCCATAGACTATATTGAAAAAGCATCGTTCATTCGGAAATGTGGTTACTTAATTAAATTCTATCGCCTTCTCAGTTATGGCGAGACCTGGGTAATAGGGATTAAGTTTTATATGGAGGATATTATAGATTCCAGTTTAAATTGAATGGGTACTCATACCTAAGATAGGAGAACTGTCAGCTATACAAAATAAAGTAGCGCATCAAAGCTACGCTATGGCGGTACGAAGATCGCTGGGTCAGCTAGTATAAATAAATGCATCATTAGTACTATTATTTAGCCAGCACGGTCAAGTATCTGGGCCTCACGCTGGATTACACTCTACGATGGAAGCAGCACGTGGACCAGACCCTAAACAAAGCTACAAAAGCACTCATGGTGTGCAACCGACTTGCTGGAAAATCTTGGGGTTGCTCCACAAGGACAATCAGGTGGATGTACACCATGATCGTGAGACCGATTATCACGTATGGAGCGGTACCGTTGGTTTCGAAAGCATCGCAGACTTCGGTAGGACTCAAACTGTCGAAGCTGCAAAATCTTGCCTGCATCTGCGCGTCGGAAGCAATGCGAACGTGTCCGACCGCAGCACTGGAAGTCATGCTAGAACTTTCACCGCTACACCTGGTAATCAAGCAGACAGCCAAACGAACTCTGCTCCAAATGACATCAGAGGGAGTTGTCAAAGGGAAGGTAATCTCATCCCAGCAGATGAAGGCGCTAAGTGAGGAAATACCACTAGCTCTTCTCCCAAAGGATAGCATTACCAAAGTAGTAAACTTCAACAGGAAGTTCAAAGTTACCCTTAGCAGCAAGTCTGAATGGAATGATTCGTCACTGGACCTGCTGCTAAGGGAAAGCACTATCAAGTGGTACACCGACGTATCGAAAACGGAGGAGGGGATTGGTGCAGGTGTCGCTGGGCCAAGCACCAAACTCTCCATTCCCATGGGAAGTTTCCCGAGCATTTTCCAAGCCGAGGTCTATGCTATAAGTCGGTGTGTAGAGATAAACCTCCAACGCAACTATCGCAATAAAAGTATTGCTATACTCAGCGATAGTCAGGCGGCACTAAGAGCGATCTCTGCCTATGAGGTCAGATCTCTTCTAGTGCTGGAGTGTATAGAACGGCTTAACAGCCTATCAGAGCACAACCGAGTGCACCTTATTTGGGTGCCTGGCCATAGGGGTATAGCCGGGAACGAACTGGCTAACGAGTTGGCCCGCTCTGCAGCCTCTACAAAAATGGTAGGACCGGAACCATTCATAGCGGTTGGTCCACATACCATTAAAGAGCTCCTCCGTAGGGAGGAAACAGCAGGCATAGAGACACATTGGCAACAACTTCAGGGCACGCACCATGCCAGACTGCTAATGCGGGGTTACGACCTCAAACGGTTCAAAGCCATAATTAATCTCCCGAGGAACAAATTCCGGCTACTTGTCGCGTTCTACACCGGCCACTGCAGGCTCAAGAAGCATCTCTTCAACATGGGTATAGCCTCTTCTGCAAACTGCCGGTTCTGCGACATAGAGCCGGAAACCCCTGAACATCTGCTGATGAACTGGAACCGCCAGTAAAGGCAGCAAAGCGACAGAGGTCTACTGAAAAGGCTAAGCCGTGAGTCAAGAGACCGAAAACAAAGGGTGTGACGGACGCAAACCATTTGCAGAAGTGTCCCTGAACCGAATCGTCATTGGCGTTCTAGATGAGGGGGAGCCCAATGGAAATGGGTGCAAGCTGCATCATTCTACATTTATTGCCAACAGACCTGTTCTGTAAGCAAGTGGCAGCAAAGTCAGCTCTCAGACTGAGGGAGTCCTCCCAATTAGTCGGCTGCAACAAGGAGCATTCTAGTTTATTCCCGTTTCTACCCAAAACCACGGACTTCCGCGATCCAATAGATTCAAAGCTAAATTCGGTCCTCAATGTTGCCTTCCGCTCCAGAGAGGGGTGGGAAAGGGACGTGGTGGACAAGAATGCAAAAATTAGCATCTACACGGATGGATCCAAACTAGATAATCGTGTGGGAGGTGGTGTCTTTTCCGCAACATTAGACACCAAAATCGCCTTCCGGTAACCAGACGACTGCATTGTTTTCCTGTCGGAGATCACATCAATCAAAGAAAGCGTTGTGGTATTGACAAAAGGTGTGCTCAAAACAAGGAAGAACATACGGATAGCCAAGCGGCCTTGAAATCACTCAGGTCACATCAAAGATAGTGAAAGAATGTCTTGGTCTCTTAGAGGATCTAACATCCTACTTAACGATAAACATGCAATGGGTTCCAGGGCATAGTGATATCCCTGGTAACTGCGAAGCAGATGAACTAGCCAGAACAGGTAACTCTTTACAATTAACCCCTGAAAAAGAGGGAATCTTTATGCCACTGGCAACTTGAAAACACATAATCAGCGAACATGCTTTAAATCTAGCTGAGTCTCGGTGGAGATAATCAATAACTTGCTCAAGTAGCAAACTAACGTGGCAGGAATGGAGCGTGGGTCGCACAAACTGACTATTAAAATTCAAAAGGAATGGCATAAGAACTCTGATAACTCTGACCAACACGTCACTGTCTAATTGGTAGACATGCCAGCAGGCTAGGTGTACTGTTTGCTTTATTCGAAGAAGCCACGATATTACGAATTTTCAACGACGGAAGCAAGGCGATGCGATTCTTGGCTATCCGAATGTGCATTCTATTGATGCTCTTGGTCGTATGTATACAGTTCATCCAAAAAATGATGAATGCTTTTATTTGCGGTTGTTGTTGGTAAATGTGCAGGGATCAAGGTCATTTGAAACACTACGGACTATTAATGGTATAATATTCTCAATATATCGTGCTGCATGCAACTTGATACAATCTAAAATCGGTTTATTTATTTCCTCTAAGGCGGAACAGACTTCGCCGAGTCTGCTAGTATCGATATATATATATAGAAAAGAGCCGTGTTAGTTACACTATTTATAACTCAAGAACGGTTTAGCCAATTTTGTTGAAAATTGGTGGGGAGATAGCTTAGAACCAGAGAACGGACATAGAATACTTTTTATATATTTATGTTAAAAGTCAATACAACTCATAATGACAAAAATTGTGTTTCCAATCATAACCATTTGTTCAAAATTCATGTAAAAATCATTTGAATATTTTATTACTTCAAAAATAATAATAGTAACAACACAGCGACTGCAAGAGTACAGTAATGTTTTTATACATACTCGTATATGGCTTATACTGATTGTTGCTACTGAAGAAGGTGGTTTCTTTTTAGGACGCACCATATGGAACCGGTAAGACATTTTTAATATCACAACAGAAAATCGCATTGATAGTTACATCACCAAGGCATTGCAGCTACTTTGCTAGATGTGAGCGGGATTGGATTTTTCCCGTAGAAACGAGTCAGCTGATTGCTCTCTTGTAACGCAGGGTTACCAGTCTCGATCATTTGTAGTAATTAAAAAGTAAACTTGAATGTATTTGAAATATTCTTAAACTAAATCAAATTCACAGTGGAATAAAATTATTTATAAATAGGTAGACTATTTTTAATAGTTGGTTTACATTATGCAAAAGTTTAACTGAAAAGCTAGATGTGTGCAAAATCGTGTATACAAATTAAACAATGGCAACATTGGTCAAATGAAAACAAAACAGAACAACTAATTTTTTCGTTGCCACTACGGGCATAACTTTTGACAAATTTCGTTTGATACGGACGGTAAGTACGGAAGGGCGGAATCAAGAATGATAGAATACAAGATTACGACTATGATTTACAGTTAGTTTTTTTGGTTTAGGCTGTGACAATTCCTTCAAAAAGAAATTACATTATGCCGTCATGTTGTGACGTAAATCTTGCGAGTTGAGAAGAAGAAGCATAGAAATGTTAATTGTAAACAAAAAAGTAAACACTTTTGTTATTTAGTGAAATTAAATGCATTCTTAGTTTTCGTTGAAAAAACTGTAGTGAAATAAATAGAAGAATGTTGTCTGAATATCTTTGGGTCATTCTAGGATGTGACACTATAAGTAAAGAAACTCCCAGGCAAAATAAAGAAACGAAAAAAAAAAACAGTCGAAGTGTGCGGTTGTATTTATTTAAATTTATAAGTATAATAAAATATATTGATTTTTTAAAATGAAATGTGCAGTGCAAGTTGAAATAACTATTATGCAAATGATAGTAATGAAAACAAATTTTTTCCGTTTTCTTTCGGTTAATTTGCAGGGATCATTTTGTGGATGACGATATTATGAACCTCAAACAATTTAATGGGTAATTATTTATTTCAATTAATGAATTAAATTGTATTTATTCAAACTTTTTTAATATATAAATATTTGCGAAAAGACTTAAGCTCCCGCGCTTTAGCTACAATTCAGGTGCCTGCTATGGCAACGGTACGCGAAAAGCGCCTTCAACAAAGGGATCGGTAGCAAACAATTAATACTTCTTACGAGAGTATCAAATAACCTTGAGCTGATGAAACAAAAGAAGAGTGATACTACTTTGTTTGAACATAATGCAAAAAATAAAGGTAGTTGTCAATAATTATTGAAAATATTTATGCATTTAATTTAAACTCATTTGTAGAACTAGTATTTTTAGGGTCTGAAGCAGACTATAATCTCCAGTGGTTCCAGCTCTGTTGATGAACAGAAGAAAGAGAATGTGCCCGTCAAATGTAAGTAACTCAATCCTTGGCTATTTATTAAGATAACTAGTTTAATTTATATTACTTCTCCACAAGTAAGTAAATCAATAGTGAGTTATTTATTACCTTATTAATTTGATTCATATTATATTATATCTCAACAGCAAACGATGGCATGAGGGGAATAGTCGTCTGCGCAAAAAGAATGGGAAACTTTTGAAGAAAATACAAATTTTGAAGGACAAAAATAATCAAAAAGACAGCAAATATATTTATCATCTTTATATATTGCAAAATCAGTCAAAGGAAAAGTCCCAAGAGTGTGAAAACATTGACGAAAAAGTAAAAGTTATTTTCACCAGTGGACAAATTAATAAAATTAAGATGAAATAAATTAAGACGAGAGAAAGCATCAAGAATCGATTGCAGCAACAAAGTAAAAAAGTTGTTCTTCCGGGCTAGAATGTTTTTTTTTTTAATAAGGATGTTAAACAAAGAATTAGAAGTATCCATCCACAAAAGGAAAAGTAAATTTAATATTGTCAAATAGTTTGAGTTTTATAGAATTAATTAATTTATTTTTATAGTTATATAAAAACTATTACTAATGTAAGAATTAATTCTTATTCTATATATTTACGAACAATAAAAGAAAGCAGAAACATCGTAATCCCAACTCGTTTTAGTCATTCACTCTGTTTGCAAACGGATAGCTTAAAAATATCTATTTACATATGTAACAATTATATCTCGGATATAATTTCACAATCATTTCACTATAGCCTTATAGAAATACATCAGAACTCAACTACATTCTATCATTCTTGATCAGAACTAGTATTATATTAATACATGTATACACTAGGCACAAAAAGTCTGCGTAAAAGGTATCAACAAAAATAAATTTTTATAAAAACCAATTTATTTGATATACATCAAAGGGTATTAAATATGTAGTTTTATGAAAATAAAAGTAATTACATTTCCGACAATAACATATAAGCAATGCAAAACATGCCGACGAATAAAAAATACATTAGTAAAAGTCTGCGCACAAGGTACATAAGTCGAGCAAAGTTATTCTTCCACCGAATTCTTCTTAAAAATTAATAGGAAGTCGGATATCCCCTACGTTTTAAAACAGAGGTTTTGACATGAAATAGACAAGCTCAGAGATTTCTGCCGAAGGGATGTGAGCACATCCATGAGCATATCCTTTAATGTAATAAGCAAACGTGTAAGCAAAAACGAATGAATTAAGTTTATTTCCCGAATTACAAAAGTGTTTACCTATTTGTTTACAATTTACAGGCTATTTGACAGTTTATAGTTCTTCTTCTTTTCAACTCGCAAGAATTATGTCACATGGCGGCTGGCGTAATATTGTATTAAATCATTCTTGGGCGGAATGTCGGTGACTGTTTCCAGAATAAGCCAATGAGATTAACGAAATGTTTAATCAAAAATTGATGAAATTATTGAAAGGCTATCAGATGTACTTTAAATCATTCGCTACTGTTGTTGATGAAAACGAAAACGTAAATCATCTAGATATACTCGGAATGACATCACATTATCTTCGTCCGAAAAATTTTACGCCTATTATTATTCAGCGTAATTTCACACAACCTCAATTGTGCAACGGTACACGTTTGGTAATCTAAAAAATTATTGTAACAACCATTTTGACTGGAAAATTTAATGAAGAGATGGTTCTCTTAACACGTTTTCCAATGATAGGGAATGTTCGAGTCTCAATTACTGCGACAACATAGTAAAGCAAACAAATTCGATGTAAAAATGTTGCAACATTTAAAAATTCAAGCAACCGCAAAACTAGTAAAATCGGCACCACCAAAATGTATGATGGAAGAAGACAGTTAAGCGAAATTGCTGTTTATTTTAGTTTATAATTAATTAATATCTCTCTTTGTGTTTTACGTTAAATGCCTTTTCCAGCCAAAATTCATTTTATATTTCTACTTTTTATATGTTAGCCTTGCAAAATAATTGCATTGATTAGGTTAAGTATCAGCTGAGTAACTGCAGAATAACAACAGGGTTACTAATGCAGTTATTTGCTTGCTCGAACATTCCCATACTGTCAGAATGTACGATACGAATAGAGCTTAATTAAATTAAACAAACTGAAAACTTTTTATAATTAAAAACCATAAATATTATTGTAAAAATTAGGAATGATCTACCCTTTCATTATCTCAAATGGTATCAACTTACAACTTTGAAAATTATTAATTTGTTACAAACTTTCACTGTATTGAATAGTTTATAATTAATGTATACCTTAGCCACAGCAAAGCGTGGACGGGGTCCTTTGGTAGTATATAAATATAACCAATCACAAAGAGTTACCTATTCAGTGCAATTGCAGTCGTGTAAAGATTAAATGCGATATACATATGTAAGAAGTTATAAGCTCGTATAATGATTAGTAAAGCGTTAAGTTTTTGAAATAAAGATAAGTGTATAGCAGAGACCTGCTGCGGTGCACCGCAACAAAGAGTACACCTCATGCTTACTTGCGTATTTTTCTTGCTAATGTATCCAAAACTTTTAAACAAATACGTATCGGTGGTTATTTTTTAGTAACAGAGTCCTCTTATTTAGCTTAATGTGCCTTTGTTTATATTCAACGAGAAGAAGAGAAGTCTCTCTGAATATATAACATAATACGATTGTAGCAACTAAAAGGTTATTGAGCGCGTTTGTTCTTCTTTGCCCGATCGTTTTGTATACATATTGTGGAGAACACGAATGCCAGAACAAAAAATAACCGACGATAAACTACTATAATCAACCAGACAGCGAAATTCGTCGAATTGATCAAACTCAAGTGCGAAGTAGGTAAGATAGACGATATATTGAGAAATCCGATACAATTGATGTCAGAAGTGGGATTGTCAAATAAATTCCCAAAGAGAGAATTGTTTTAAAATGGCAAAGTTTAACGATCTAAAGATTCCACAACTGAAAAAGGAGCTGTAACAACGTGGTTTGGCAACAAATGGACTAAAATCCGAATTACAATCGCGGTTATGACAGGCGATGAAAGCAGAAAACATTAGTGTTGACGAATATGTGTTTTAGTTGGAATTAGAGGAAGATACTACGAAGATAAAAGAAAACGGAGAAGTTTAATACTCGTCAAAGGTTATGGACATGAACGTGTTTTTTGCTGCAATGTGGCAGATGTTAATATCGACACAGGGGAAAGAGCGGAGGCACGTATATCAGAAATGTCTTCACAAATGATGTACTTGCAGTTAAAATGCGGTCAAGTGTGTCAAAGAGTGCGGACGTGTATTTAATTCGGCCCATGAAAGTTTACACAATATATACAAAAACAATAGCTAAAAAATGTAAAAAAAAACAATAACTTACCATGAGTGCTGCCCAGCCTCATCAACAAGGCCGAAGGTACTCCATGAATGTCTACTTCACTTTTGTCGACCCAGCAACAACACCTAACAACAAAAAACAAAAAAAAAGGAAACAAAAATATGTCATTGTAGCGGTTAACAGCACCAACAAACATGCAGGTATCAGCAAACTCGATACCAAACAAAGTGAAGGAAAAAAGTAGTGAAGGTGAGAGTGTACCTGATAAAAAAGGAACAGCTATTCATATTGGTATTGACCGCTACGTGAACATTAAAAGGAAATCAAGTCCTATAAAGACAGCGGTCAATTAAAAAAAAATTCAAACCGGGACTCCAAACGTAAATAAGGATGAACCTCTAAATGGCAACAGATTTGCCTTATTGAGTAACAAACCCAACGACGATGCGAAGTGTACCACCACAATGAGTAACACCAAACCGCCTCCAATATATTTGCGCGAACGTAGCTCAAATGCTCTTGTATTCAAATGAAGTGACATTGTAGGCAAAAACTATTTCCATATAGTGCCCTTGAAAGAGGTTAATTGATGAAACCAAAATACATACACAGAGAAATTTTATGGAAATCGTAAAATTTCTATCCAATAATAATACAAATTGCTACTCCTATCAACTGAAGAGCTCTAAAGGCCTAGTTGTAGTCATTAAAGGTACTGAGCCTTAGGTAGACTCTAATGAAATCAGACAAGATCTTAAAGAATGTGGTTATGAGGATAAAGCTGTAATACATTTTTTTAATAAAAATATGGTGCCGCAACCAATGTTCAAGATTGAATTGATGCCAAACTAAGCTAAAGAAAAACAAGAAAAAACGTTAACTTCGGTTGCGCCGAAGCTATAATACCCTTCACAAAAACAAAGGCCCCTTACAAGAACTTGATTCCGATCGTTCAGTTAATATGGCAGCTATATGCTACAGTCATCCGATCCATACAATTTCTTCGGAGATTAGATTAATGCTTTGAATAATAATACATGCCAAATTTCGTGAAGATACCTCGTCAAATGAAAGAGTTTTCCATACAAGCACTTCATTCCGATTGTTCAGTTTGTATGACAGCTATATGCTATAGTCATCCGATCTGAATAATTTCTTCGGAGATTACATTGTTGCCTTAACTTATAATCCGTGCCAAATTTCGTGAAAATACCTTTTCAAATGAAAGAGTTTCCCATACAAACACTTGATTCCGATTGTTTAGTTTGTATGGCAGCTATATGCTATAGTGGTCCGATATCGGCCGTTCCGACAAATGAGCAGCTTCTTGGGGAGAAAAAGAAGTGTTCAAAATTTCAGATCGATATCTCAAAAACTGAGGGACTAGTTCGCGTATATACAGACGGACAGACAGACGGACGGACAGATGGACGAACAGACAGACGGACATGGCTAAATCAACTCAGCTCGTCACGGTGATCATTTATATATATACTTTATATGGTCTCCGACGTTTCCTTCTGGGTGTTACAAACTTCGTGGAAAAATTAATATACCCTGTTCAGGGTATAAAAATTAAACGCATCCGAAATTATTGAAATCACTGACTAAAGTTCAAAACATGGTTATGTTAAAGATAATGTAGCTCATGGAAGTTATGCAAATGTTGCAAATTGCCCCAAAAAGAACTGCAATTTATGTTAACAATACGAAATATGATTCAAGATCTAATTAAAGCGCAAAACCAAATTCTGCAAACTTTTTTAAGTAAAAAATTAGCGAACTAAAGATTTATATAAACAGAATAAACTCAGAAAAATCTCATAAGAGACGTGAGTGGTAATTAGACTCGAAATGATGAAGAAAAAGCAATTTTCTTTGCAAACCTCCTAGAGAAGGTATTTAAGCCTAATTGTCGCTCTTGTCTATTATGACTTCAACATTTGAAATTAAATATATAATAAAAGAGATAAATCCAAAAAAGTCATCAGGACACGGTAAAATTACTCTAAAAATGCTATTGAAGCTACCAAATATTTATTATTATTAGTGCATTGCAGCTAAAGGATTGAGGCTCAAGAATCATGGCCGAATAAAGCAGCATAATACGGGGCACCACTTAAGCGAATTGCCATGTATATGGATGATCTATTTACCATAAATAAATATTTAAACAAATATGTTTTCGTAGTCAAGAACCGTTTCACTAAATGGCCAGAAGTATACACAATTCGTAATCAAGAGGCTTAACCAGTAGCGGATGTATTCATAAAGAAGCGGGTAATGAGATGCGGTGTACCATCGGAATTA